ACTAAAGTATGTTTACTCCAACTCTGATTAAATTAAGGTTTTGAATTTAAAATTTTTTGGAATAGTTTGGATAGTTATTATCAGAAATATAGAGGTTGTACATATATTTTTTTTAACTTCTATCAGTCTTTTTAAATTGTTTACGAATCATTCGAACTATGCTGTTTAAAACAAGGCGTCATTCTTGTCGCCAATTNTTTCTGTGCGAGGAATAGTTTGCCCGATACAGTAAGTAGTAGTATAAAAACCATTCGCAGCCCTTTTTACAAGATGGCGGCCGACGCTCAAGGGTTGCGACCCCACAAACATGGATTTAACTTTACACTAACCCCCTCTTGACATCCAAAAAATAAAATTGCGTGCTCTGACTTTTGCAACCTCAAATATAACTTTTCAATGGACTATAACGGTTGCTAAAAATACTTGAAACAGGCTTGTGTTTTTTGCATTACTAAACTAAATAAATAAATAAATAAATAAATAAATAAATAAATAAATAAATAAATAAATAAATAAATTACCTTTTTGGTAGAGTCGTTGAGATAACGCAAGTGTTTTGTGACATTCCAATTTCTGCAAAAGGATAGGTATACTTGTTGCATGTTGCAAAATTGCATCATTCTGGAGAAAAACCGATTGGAAATTTCTACTGTAACTATCAATTGCGAACAGTGGAGCTTTTGGGGGAACTCTATTGTAACTAATCTTCATCTTACTGTTAAATTTGCACTTTTTCTTAAACTTTTTTTTATGTTTTAAATTAACTTTAACTCTATTCGAAAACCTGTTGAAATATGGATAGGTACATTGTAAAAGTTTAACAAAGGCATTTTGCAGCAAATGGATAATATAATTATTAGACTATATTGCTCCAAAAAAGATGTCCATTTTTTACTACAACATACGTACAACATGTTAACCTTTTTTTGCAGTAAATGAAGTGACGTTTTCTGAAACATGAATGTTTTCAAATTTTCTACCTGTAATATGACAAAAAACAAAATACTCATTCAAGTATTATAAGCATCCTCTATACTTTCTGTTACCCTAAAAAACTCCCTATATCAAATTTCATTCAATCTTAAAAAAATAATAAAGTTACCTTAAAAAAATCTAATAAGTTTCTTTGAAAAATTTTTAAGGAGGTAAAATTTTATTAAAGCAAGTAATTTGGTGATATATACATAGATATACACACATTTCGTTGAATTATAGAATACATAAATGTATTTATTGGTTAAACAATATTCATAAACTATCAAGAAACTTTGTTGTGACCTGGTACACATGCATTAATGTGGAGGGTAACTCGATAACGCAAAAATAAAAAAAATTGAACATCACACCACACCACAAGAGAGATATCAAAAGGGAATGGCATTTAAAATAATCCGTTACTAAAGAGTCATTTGGTAAGTTATTTATGAAAGCCATAGGTGGATTAACTTTGATTTAGTATCATGACTAGTAGATTCGTTAGCAGCAAGTGAAGAGGTGAGCATTAAAGCCGATTTTAACTGAGTAATAAATAACTTTAATCGCGTTGACACGTCGACGAATGCATACATGCAAGCCAAATAGAGGGATTATCCATATTTGGGAGTTGAAGTTCATTAAAACGCAATAGTTGTCTGCTGAAAACTCAACGATTTAATTACTTAATTGTTTTTTTTAACATGTTAAAATCTAGCTTTCATTCTAATGGAACTAACAGTGGCGAATGGTTAAAAATACAGATATTTTGTCATGAAAGTCACGAAGTGCACTAGGGCCTTTTCCTTCGTGTAAATGTTATAATTGGATTATACGCGTTGTAAAGGAGAATTAGATTTATTTATATTAGACATATATGAAAATGCCTTTTATATAAATTGTCCCAAAAATGAGATCGATCAAACGTTATTTCAAGTTAATGGAACACTCACATTTCCTATAATAACAAGAGAGATATAGTATGACCAAGTAAGAACCAGACGAAAGTTTCTAAATTTAATGGCTTTATAGCGGACTAATAACTTTTAAGAAATTTTTTGGCTCCAAAAACAAGGGGGTCCACGAAAAATTGTCTTAAAGGGGTTCAGATTCTACGTGTCACAAAACCCCTGTGTACCAAATTTAGTGATTCGCGTACAACAGGGTTCTGAGATATAAAAAAGAGATTATCCTTAGGGGCGGATTTTAGGGGGCTTTAACTGCGAGAGAGCGGGCCACTTGGCAAATACAAAAAATACGGGGCCCCTAAATTCGTCTTAAGAATCTGCGACCAAATCTTGTTGCATTAATTTCGGGACACCCTGTATATAACATCGGATGAAAATTTTATACAAATTTTTAAACTTGTGTAAATTAAATTAATATCTTTCAAAGTTGTATCTCCTTTGAACGTTTTAGGAAATTTGTAAATATTAATGTGCTGTTAATACTTTAATGTTGCTGTTAATGATATTTTTTAAAATATATTTTGTAAAGTTATTAATTCTTTTATATTTTTGCTTATTCTGCGGAACAGGTATTAACAGAAATTGTACGCAATAAGAAAATGTATTTATTTATATAAAAAATGGCCAAGTATTACACCATTGCATATAAATATATAATAAAATATAAATATTATCTGGCGACATTAAAACTTGATTATCATATAAAACAACCATAACAATTACTAGAAGAGTACGAGCATATTTCGATTGAAGCTGAGTATAGTCATTGTGCTGTTGAGTATTATATCCCTCATCTATACATTGAAAGCTGCCATTTTATTTCATATTTAGAGAATCATATGTTGGAGGAGCTGCAAAAATAATATGTATTAGTGTATGAAACACACAGTTAAATATCTGACTTACGCTGTTCCGAAGGCAAATTTCCACTTGGCATACTAGCATCTTGTGATTTTGAATAATCTGAAAAATCATCATTACTGTCAATTAAGTTTCAGTTTTCAAATGTATGTAAATCAATTCAAATTTATTAGCATGATTCGTGCATTAGTTAATTTATAAGAAACGAATGTTTCATATAAAAAGCTACACCGATATAGGGTGTCCCACCGGGAACTGCGTCGATCGATAAATAGGAAAGTACTGCTCCGAAAAATTTGAAAACTTGGCAACACAACTAAAATATCTAGAACTCTCCAGCACTTCCGCTTATACTGGAAGTCGACACCAACTTCGTTATTTTAAATGGGACTCCCTAAATATTATTGCATTTTCGTATTCAACGTGAAAATTGAGGGTCACCTTATTATATATTCCCTATACCCAGTGGTCATAGATTTTGAAATATTAATTTTTAAAGAAAAAATTTGATAGATACAAGGGTTCGCGGAGATGCTAGTAACTCTTTTCAGGAACGTGATATCAAGCGGATTTTTGGTACATGTAAAGAGCATATGTAACAATACATTATGGTATACCAACAAATTAAAACATTTAATACTAGGTCTTTTATTTTTGCCGTTAATTTTTGATAACTTCAAACAGCTATAACTTTGTTAACTTAAATGGAACACCCTATATTTTTTACTGTCGTGCAGACTGAAATTTTATTTCAAGTCATATAATCATTGTTAGGATTGCCGTTACTACTTTTAGAGATATTTACAATTATCTATTTTTTGGACAGTTTTTCTCATATCAGACCTGTTGTCAAATTCACCATGACCAGAAACAATTGAAATAACATAACATTTGTCAAGTTAGTTGTCAAATTATTGTTGTGTCTGAATATTTTTTGCCGAAAATTTAAATAAAAATGCCTGGGGATTGTTTAAATTATACTAATGAGGATTATTTTAATTTATAACTCCTAGGTATAGGGGATATTTAATAAAATGACCTTTAAATTTCATGTAGAATCCGAAAATGCAATAATATATGGGGTATCCCATTTAAAATAACGAAGTTGGTGTCGACTTCCGGTATAACCGGAAGTGCTAAAGTTCTAGATATTTTAGTTGTGTTAGCCCCAGGGACATTGCCATGTTGCCAAATTTTCAGTAGTACGATAGATATCGATTGACGCAGTTCCCGGTGGGACACCCTGTATATTACAACTCACAAATAATGTCTAGTAAATTGTTAAGATCAGTTGTCAGCAGAATCATCAGACATAGACGTTTCAAACTGATTAGTTCTCATCTCATCATTATATCATAAGNGGCCGTTACGTGAGAGCGATAAAGTAAGTCATAGAAATCCGTGCGATAGAGAAAGATGGCTATAATGGAGGCGTCTAATAGTCACCGCCCATTTCGCCCTTCCACAAATAAGATCCACTTATTGGACGGGCGAAATGGGCGGTGACTATTAGACGTCTTCATTATAGCCATCTTTCTCTATCGCACGGATTTCTATGACTTTCTTTATCGCTCTCACGTAACGGCCGATGAACCATGGGGACTTCCCAACCCTGTCTATTACTGTTAAGTCTGTCAGATATAAAATTTAGGTATCTTCATCTGCAAACATTTTATCTCTAAAGCAATTTGTTTTTCCGATGACAAATAAGTAAGTACCTATTTTTTACGTAAAAAGTCTAAAATTCTTAAAAATTATATTAGGGCTTAAAAAAGTAGATGGTGATTTATTTATTTATCTCGGGACAAAGCTTAAGGTAAATTAAATTAAATAGTTGTTTCACCAAATAACTATTTAAATTTAATGAGAAATTAAAAAAAAAATTTGAAGAAAATCCTATTTTTCAAAAAGCCCGAAAGAACAAATTTTATATAAACTTCTGACATCACTTCTACAAAATTTACCCAATTCCAAGAGATTGCCCATCATTTCTAGCATAGCCTGCTTAAATGTGAAACTAAATATAAAGTATAGAATTTAATTATTGTCAACACATAGTTTTAACTATTCAAATAGAAAAATGTCCTAATAGAAATAATCTCATAGAAATTTTAAAACAGAAAAAATAATTTATTAATTAATGATGATAATAAATTTACTACATCATTTTTCTTTTAAATCAGTTTAAAATAAAAGCTATTTCAGATGATGATTACTGTATTACATATTTACATACATTTTATTAATCAACTTTTACAATGAAACTATTACTTCTTCTTATCATCTTCAAGTAGAACATTTTCTGATGCAGCTGGAGCATTTCTAAAGTTCGGAAACTGTTCCCAAGGAGCAGAAAGATCAAACTTTCTAAACTCTTGTGCTAATTCCAAAGGTTCTAACACCACACGCTTCTTTTCATCGTCATATCTTACCTACAAATAATATAATTTCTTTAGCCTTTTAACATTTCTTGATTTGTACAGAGTAATTGCACAAATTCAACTCCAATGCTTCTTAACTCTAATCAAATGTTATACATTCATGTTTAACTTAATTGTGAGTTTATATAAAACATTTTAATTGGAAATAAGATATTAAGAAATCTTTATATATTATCAGATAAATTATTTTATACCTATTATCTGATAAATTATAGGAAACATATAATTTATTGTTATTCTTATACCGACTCAAAAAATACATTTAAAATCAAACAAACTTTAAATACATCTTTATGATATTTGTTGAGATAGAATTCCAAGAAGACCCCAGCATCACTTTCGTGGAATTAACTGCAATTGACACCCAGGATAGAAAGACAATGGCGGTGTTCAACGTTCATCCAATTGAAATGATATGGACTCAAGTTAAAAGCAACGTAGCAAAGAAAAATGTTTTATTTAAATTCTATCTCAGCAAATATCGTACAGACACAGACTGTACCAGTTTCAAAGGTTTAGATCTTCCAGACATTCCAAACGAAAGAGATTATACATAACCTAACCTGTTCATATTATCTCTTGCTGACTAAATTACAAAAGAGAAATTAGATAATTATGTAAGCAAGAGAAGAAAATATACCCCATTTAAAGTTTATTTATGCAAGTTTTGAAAGAAATATCTATGAATGTATTATAGAAACTATTCCAAAATAAAGTCTACAAGGTACATTTAAATGAAGGAGTACAGAAAGTGATACCAAATCACCAAAGTTATTTCGTTTGCAAGTAGGTGTTAATATTTTTGAAAAACATATAACATGTAAAACATAATATGCAAATATCTCAAAAGATGAAAAAGATGATTAACGCAGATTAACAAATCAAAGGTAAAAATTCACTGAATATGTATATAAACCAGAGGCAGATGCGATACTGGGAGAAGCCATCATTGAGAACCTCAGAATTTCATATAACTTGAAAGATCTCTTCTACTTTATTTAAGAAATTACTGTCATTTTCAAATTTTGTTTTAGCCTAAGATAAACTTACCATATAGTTGAATAAATTGAAAATAAATCAAAAATTGTTTCAACAGTATGAAAAATTAGTATCGTGGAAGTTGGACCTTTGATATGCCCAGCAGAAAATTTAAAATTTCTACTCTAATGTTCTTTTTTGGATTCTTAATCATTACATTGTATTTAAAATTGTCAAAGCACCAACAAATTCCTATAAATATTTCTTGTTAATGGAACAGTTTTAAAGTTTTCTATTTATTTCACAAATGATATAATTGTATAGAAATTCAGAGAATTTTTAACTTTATTTAGTTAATTTTTTGCGATCTTGCCAAAAGTTAGAAATAACATTTCTTTTAACTTGTGTGCCCTATTTCTACAAAGTGTTTCTAATTAATCTAAATCTAACCGAAAATTCTAGAGGTAATAGAACTTGAAAAATAGTAGGATTTTTTCCTGTGAATTATAAACCATAGGTTTATACTGAAATGTTGGTTACTGATGGAGACAACATTCTTAAAAAATAAATTTCACTTTATCCCTGTATCTTGAAAATAAAAGATGATAGACCCATAGTTTACAGAAAAAAATATTAAGTAAGCTTTATCATCACCAGATAGAGTTGCCAGACGTCGCGATTTGGGTGGGACGGTCCCGATTTTTAGATGAATGTGTCCCGCTTTGACACAAGGCGGGACACATAAAATCCCATATTTTCTGATCGAACCGAAATACAAAAGAATGTCTGTATATTTTCCCCAGGTATAATAAGAATTACTTTTACTCGAAGAGGATGCCGCTTTAGAAGTGTACGATTGCAAACCAACTCGCATGCCGAGAATGTATCATCTGTTGGTTGAATATTGAAACAATCCTAGTAGCCATATAATGACAAGTATTGTAGCGGCAATGTCTTCTCACCTATTTATCCCAAAATCTGGCATCCCTATCACCAGATATTCTTCTTACGTATGTATTAGGCTGCACTCAGTGGAGAAAAGTATATATTGATATACTGACAGTACAGTAGTCAAATATGTATTTTGCTTTAAATTTTGATTTTACATACTGACCAGTAAGTGACTATGTAAACACAGTGAGATGAATAAGTTCACGTATAAATTAAAAAAAAAGCTTTTACTGCCATCATCCAAACTAAACGTGTATGCTAAATTTCACCTCCATCGGTTGGGAATAACAGTTTTAAAATTCAGGTGCAAGATTTACAAAAACTCGTAAAAAGAAATATACAAAGCATTTTGCCTTCAAAGAAATATAATATAAGCTTTATGTCTTCATAACATAAAGACTCGTATATTAAATAGATAGAGAGATAGAGAGATACTTGACAGAAACGATTACAATTATTAATTTTCCTATAAATATAAGAAGTGTGTATGTTTGTTTTTATTTTGGCGATTTTGACTATCTTTTTGGGATAACCTAGCGAAATTTTGTTTGTTATGCATGTACCTAATTTTTAGCTTCTACCAGTATTGACATGTTACCGTTTTTTTATCTAGAATTAGAAAATTTATATCTATTCGGGTCTTTAACCTGGTACCTAATACCTGTATGCATTTTAAGGTTATTCAGAGATTCTAAAAAATAATATTAGGTAATTGTTATTTTTTGTATTTACAAAAACATTCAGTATACATACTTTCATCAATCAATTTTTCAATATAAAGAGTCATTTTTGTGTATTTAACATTTTTTTAAATTAAATAATAAAAACTTTTTTGTAAAACCAAATATAAAAATTTTTCCCAATTTCATCCATGGACACATTGTATTTCGTTCAATTCAGAAAATATCTCTATTATATTAAGTAAAAATACATATTCTAATTTAAAAAAAAATAACAATTATGTCGAGGTAGACGTTAAAAAAGACTAATATTAAGGGTCCGTTTCTAGTAGTGCTGGCAAAAACCAGAAAAAAGTTGAAACCGGTTAACCGGGTTCCGTAAAAACTGATTTCAGATGAAACCGGTTAGTCGAATAGTGGTTAAAACTGGATATTCTAAAACAGGTTATTCAAATAACCGGTTACTAGAATAATGGCCAAAACCGGATATCTGAAAATCGGTTTTGAAAAACTGAGAGGATATACGATGTTATTCACATATTCACAAATTTTAAATTTTAAAGTTAAATCTAATGTTAAAAATTAAAATGTTAAAACAGTTACACTTAATAAACTGTGGTTGTTCAGTTTACTATTTATATAAATGGGTTTGGTTGTTTGGTTTTCGGTGTATTTGGGTATTTGGGATTGTTGTAGGATTGTTTTTTTTATCAGTCTATGTAGCCAATATCAATAACTGCATAACACTAAGACTATATTATAGTGTTATTTAATTATTGGCTATAAAGAAAGAATCTGATTATTCGGATATTTGAATGAACAGATTATTGAATAATCGGTTATTAGAATAATCGGATATTTGAAGATTCCAATAACCGGTTTTTGGGTATCGTAAAAATTCAAATTATCCGAAACCGGTTAACTGACTATCAAAAAAACCGATTTCAGTTGCCAGCACTAGTTTCTAGTATTTTTTAGTCATTAATGCCAATATTTTAAAATCAAGACCAAAATGGCTGAGTTATAGCATGTGACAAGTTTGTTATATCCAAAATCAAAACGTATTAATTTTAATGTAATTTGTAACTTTGGGAATCACTCTCTAAAACAAACTGTTCACTGTAAGGTATACTCATTATAAGAGAACCAGACAGTATTCTACAATCTTAGGTAAAGGACATCCCAATGAAAGTTTGCCTAGTACAGAGTAAAATTCAAATAAAAACAGTTGTACTAGGTACTTTAAAGTAACAAAGCTGATTGCAACTTCCTGTAAAAACTACATATGTAACACCTTCAGATTTCATTTTTCTATGATAACTAATTTGCCACTCATCACGAACAATCTCATATATTTACCTCAACATATCCACTAAGAGGAAAATCTTTTCTAAATGGATGACCTTCAAATCCATAATCTGTTAAAATACGCCTCAAATCTGGATGGTTAGAGAAAAACACCCCATACATATCCCAGATTTCTCTTTCATACCAATTTGCTGCCTTGTAAATATCATTACAAGAGTCTATAGGAGTTAATTCATCAGTATAAGTTTTTACTCTTATTCGGGAGTTAAATCTTAAGGACAGAATATTGTAAATAATCTAAAATTTAACAGATATGTTTAATAAAAATTAATTTTATTAATTTGTCTTTAAGAAGTACCTCAAATCGAAATTGTCTACTAGGCACATCCATGCCCGCAATGTCAACTAAATTAGCAAACTGAGCATTGTGGTGATCTTTTAAGAACTGCAATACAGGTGTGATACCTTCTGGAGCAATAAGTAACTCAAGTTCATCTCCGGCTGTAATTTGCACTGTTTGAATGTATTTTGGCAAGCATTCAGCCACATACTTTCCAAAATCTTTTAATTGGTTGCGAGCAACCACATCTGCTTTTCTAACAGTAGCTAAAAAAAAATTAAATGCTTATGTATTACACTTCTATAATACAAAATACTGCAAGAAAATCTTGGAAAAATCCCTTTAAATTTGATATATTAATACCTACTTAAGTATAAGATAATAATGCTTACGTCTTGTCTCCTGCGTTACTTCAGGTGTTTCAGCTGTGCTCATTGGCCTTGTTGAGCTTTTGCATGCTACAATGATTATAAAAATATTATTTTATTTCAAAATTATGTTTTAAATAATAACCTGTTTTATTCAAGGTTCTGAACCCTATTCCTCGAAAGAGACATTGTCTGAACAGAGACATTTCCTTGAAATTTTATTTCTGTAATATTAAAATATTGTTTAGGGAATAAGTATAATTAAATAAAAACTATAATAATATAATAACCTTAATTTTCTCGTATTACTTAATCGAAGTACTTTTCTATATTCCATGATCCATGTTCCATGCATAGACCTTGGAAAATATTAGGTCTATAGTTCCATGTCATTATTATTTGTGATTATGGCACAGAATAGTAGATATAAGTAAGATATTTGTTTTCACAGATCAAGAAAAGACATANCGATATAGCGCTTTGACAGATGACGTTTAAGTTCATTTGCTATACGCTACGCCCTACGTCCAAATTTTCAGAACCAACTTGACCACGTTTTTATTTGAACGCTCGTTAGTTATTTAAGTTGGTACTGAGCATCTGGCATGGTGTTCCATGACATGTCGTTGAGGGACAACATCATGATTCACTGGTCACATGTATCTCGGTACTCATCCATGTGATGTTACATGTAAAAACAATCTTAATACATCGAGTTAATAAATAAATATATATAGTAACAAAAGCAGCTTGTTTAATATATCTAGAAGAACATAACATTTTCAACATCTATGTAAATTATACAAGCTATTATATGTATATAGCTCACTACCAAGCCACCCTCCAACCACGTAAGTCAATATTTGTTGTTTTCCGCGATCGACTAGACCTTAACAGTGGTGTAAATCTCGATTTTAGGGCTTTTTAGCACATGGTGCATATTCTGGTGTATTGTGCATCCTTTCTACCTGTCATGTCTACAGCCAATAGTTGCGGCAGAAAGGTGAATACTGGCTGATTGGCTTACAAATCGTACGACTCGGAAATTGTGGAAAATTGGGAGCTGTTGCAGTATATCGGCTGTCCCATCAAACTGCTCCGCCATTTTGCTGTACCCCGACGTTGAATATCCACAGATAAGCTGTAGTTTTAGTTATCTTTTTTCTCTTTAATTATATTGGATTTATTATCCCAACTTTTCTAAATCTATACCTATATAAATACGTTTTATTTTTAGCCTGATGAGTGATAATTCATACCAATGAAGACATTTATCGTAATATTGTCTTGATACACGTCTATTATCGTTTCTTATACTTATATATGTGTGTATGAACATATAGTTTTGTCTTGTATGTTTTTTTACAACTGTTTTTTATATAAATTAGAAAAATTATTATCACCTATTTATAAAATTCATAATTATCTTTTTATTGTCACCACCCGTGATCAGGAGCGGTTAAGTTTATACTTATAAATTATTGTTATTTGGTTGAATCTTCACACAAGTATATTTGTCGTTTCTATAATTTTCATTTCTGAAACTAAGATCCAAGTCTGATGCTACAGACGTGTTATTAAATTTATATTTTTGAATATTTTAATAGTTGTGTTTTTTCCCGGTTTTGGCATAAGCGTCCGAGTAAGTTTTTAAACTTAAAGTTTTGTAACCGGATTTTAAGTGACTTGAGAAACGTGGGTATTTAATAGGTTACTGGCGCCCTGAACTTTACAGTTCTAAATACCGCACGACCAGCTCCGACTGTGTGCTAGCCGACGTTTCTGCCACAACATCTTCCGGATGCGAATCCAACGAAAAGGTGGCAAGAGTAGATTTTGGCGCCCAACGTGGGGCCTGTTTAAAAATAAAAGTTAACTATTTTTTTTAAATATTAGTTCAACCTTTTGCTTTCTCTCTTTGATATAGAGCTTATCTGTTGTTGGTTGGGAAGTTACTGTAATGTTCTGTTAGTTTAAATTGTTTTGTTGTTTTGATAATTATCAACGTCACGACGTAAGCCACGGCTCACATTATATTGAGTATATTTCATGTTTTAGGTAGAATTAAGTAGTATAATTGTAAATATATTAATAAATTCGTAATTTTTAATACAAAATACCGATTGTGCAATACCGACGCCTACCGACGCATACCGACGCCTACCGACGCCTAACGTCGATTTTGATATTTTGTAAGATTTTGATAAAATTTTAGATTATTAATCACCTAGTACATATAAGTA